TCAAATTTATAATTTATCAGGGCCTGATTCCTGAATTGCTTGCTAGGAAAGATGCCTCTCCAACATAACAGGCATATTCATTGCTCTCCCTCAAGATTGGAAGTTTCACCCTTGAACTTAGAAACTGCATCCTTTTAGAGCCAAAACGAATAGCGCCTAAGCAGCAGATACCGGCGCTAGAAGCTAGGTTATCACCGGCACTGGCAGCCCACACACTCGACGTTCTCGCGCCGTGAGAAAAGGATTGCATTCAGGGCTTAAAACTACCCTTCGCGGCGGTTTCGAGCGAATTCAGTGCTCGAGGTGATATAGGGTTGGACGCCGGGCGGCTTCGAGCCAAACGGATGTGTTCAAGGGGAAATCAGCTCCGGGAACAACTCCTGAAGGAGTCTTTCCATGCGGGGAATTATAGCCAATATGTGACTTGAATTTCGATTAGTAAGGCCGTAAAAGGCAGCCAGAGTCAAATTTATAATTTATCAGGGCCTGATTCCTGAATTGCTTGCTAGGAAAGATGCCTCTCCAACATAACAGGCATATTCATTGCTCTCCCTCAAGAATGCCGTCACTATTCCTGCAAACAAGTGAGGGAGGGGGGGGGGACTGGAGAGCAGCCAGGCGGCCTTCACCATCAACCGATGCCATCCTGAGCCCGCAGCAAATGGTGGAAAAGGCCGCCACCTTTTCATCATTTGCTGTGGGCTCAGGATGCGCTCCCAATCCACGCCCCTTCATCTCCTCTCGTTTGCAGGGAGAATGACCTCATCTTTGTCGGTAGGCAATCCCCAGTGCTGCCCGGTATTTTTGAAAGTCAATAAGTGTAAGTTTGTACGTAAACATCAATAGCGCTATAAGAAACAACAAGAACAGCGGCAGTAAACAAAAATAAGACGAAATGAATAATTCAAAAGCGTACCTGGGCGTAGGCATGATAGCCAGCAACCAGTGAAGATATGGCTGTATCTGTGCAACCACAACCTTCTTCCAAATATATCCGTAACGAATCCAACACACCCGGTTCCATGACTGCCTCTTGAGCTGAAACATCTCATAGTCTTCCTGGAATCATGCTAAAACTTTCATAATCTGCTCAAATCAGCAAAGTTTCTCCTAGTAGTTGACTCGACATATTTGAGCACTTCTACGTCAAATCATTTTGACACTTACGCGAACGCTACATTCACCTCAATGTCGACATGGTGTGAACTGGGACACAAAAAGACAGGGGAAGCTGTCGAAGGCAGAACAATTGTGAGCAGGGCACGTCTTACTTCGAGGATCCCCTGCGAGGGGGTCGTATTCGGTGGAAGAAAAGAGGACAGAGGCTCGTACACCTTCATCGGATATAGGATAGGATCTCCTATACCGGGGCGAGCGTGCCTACCTGCTTAATCTCAACGTACTTCCGCTTCGCTCCTGGTAGGATATTGCCGGTTTCGGACAACTGTAATAACGCCTCTGCCCAGTACCATACGAAATGATAGTTGTCTCAAATGGTAATATCCCACGATGAACGAATCCTGCGCCATGTTCCAAAAAAGCACAAGACCCCGCCCCCTCATCTTTGGGAGATGTGCTTACCTGTAGCTAACCACGCTAATTTCGAAACTCCACTCCACTAACAAGTGGTAGGCATATTCCTCGTGGATGAGCATAATTTTTCGGGCAAAACCTTGAAAATGTCGATTCATATCGAAAACTATAGCTATAACCACCCCGTACTCGGGATGTAACGACATAAAACCACTGTAGAGCCGAGGAATCCCAAGGGATACTCCAGTGTAATGTGTTGTGACGTCAAGACAAACGCAATTGCCGCTCCAGCGCGCCATGCAATGTGCGATGTTTTCTCGATCTGCATTATTCCTTCGACTGAACCACTGAATTCCAGTAGACTACACACACCACGGAGAGCTACATGCTGTTTGTATTGCAATTATTCACTTCGCCAGTCCAAAGTTCATAGAAACATTGCCCAATTTCACGGTAGCGCAGGTCATCGCGCGCGACGCCCACAAGCGGGCGAATTACACTATTACTACATATCACACTATTTTTCCTGACACCTTACCTCCATCCTCCATATCAATGTCCAAGGAGGCGGGGACGGCAACAAACCGGTGTGTATTTCCTTAAGCGAATTTCTCCTTGTCTTGATGGCACAGTATTGCACTCGGGAGGTCGGCCGTCCTACTAAAGCGAAATGGAACTTAAGGTAAGCATAGCGATATGATTGAGCGCCAAGACGCCTACTCGTAGCGATTCTTCTAAAACCTATCTGTCGCAAAAATGTGAAAGCGAGGATACATAGTGTCCTCTCTCTTGCCCGAAAATCCCTGCCCTGTTATGGCCACGCTCTATATTGCCCATCAAGAAAGGTCATGTAGAGCCATTTTTCGCGACGCCCATTCTCTTTACAAGTATCCCTGACTTGGAAATAAAGCTATGCAGCACTCTCACATTTTACTGAATTGGAGAGCTTACGTCGGGTCGCTCATAGTCGAAAACATGTCGTCCTCGTCTACATCTTAACTAAATCACATGCCTTGTTCAATAAAATAATAGGATGCTGTTCAGCTTAGGAGGGGCACCTTGCTAGCTCATGTTAACTAACAGGTTACACTTTGGTAAGACGTAACATCACCCTGTAAAGCTACGAAGCGGCACAAGAGAGCCGCTGTGGTAAAATAAATTCACAGGTCTTCACAGGTTGGTCTGGACCAGTTTTGCTAAAAACCATTCGGTGCCCCCACCAAGCAGAACTACGCCAAAGTATTCTACTATGCCAATACGTTCAACTTAGGCATCACCAGCACAACATATACAAAAACAATATAACACTCAAAAACATTTATTCTTATAGACCATAAATTAAGTACATGTATTGATTGATGAACTGGTGCTTATCAACACTTTGGGGTCAGATCGTCATCGATGGATATAATGATAAAATCAGAAAGAACGTTCATGCAAAAGGCCACAAATAACGAGAACAAAACAGCAAATGGTAACAGGTCAAAACGCACTGAGTTCGATAGTCGAATCTCCTAGGCAGCGTTCAGACTTGGCGATGACGCGCATCGACACGCTCTAAAGCGCGTGGACGCGCTGGAACTGCAGCAGCGCTCCTATGCTATAGTCGCGAACGCAGCCGCAAACGGGAATCGATCGGTGCCAACCACTCGTGTTTTGAGAGCTGTGGATAAGAGGGTGCTCGAATTGTGTTAGGGCAGGGCTTACCCTCCTGTTATCCCACACTCTCTTGCGCGGTAGCGCGTCGACGCACGTTGTCGCGAAGTTTGAACGCTGTCTCACACCATTCCACACCCTGAACAAAACAGCCTCAGAGCCTACTGACACTAAGATTCCAGCGTGAAAACAACAGATATTCAGTCAACGGACAACAAATGAAACCATAAAAACGCAGTGATGAGATTGAAATGTTAGAGTAATGTTTCACTTCAGTTACTGTATACTGTGGACGAAGATATCTACAAAATGCCCGACATCGGCTTTCGTCCTGGCCATGACTCTTTGGCGTATTTCTTCTTGTGCGGTTCGTCACTATCCACCGTCACAACATGTGGATGTACTAAAAAAAGAACGGTGTTGGGAGACAGTATGCAAAAAAAAGATGAAAATACAATACAACACAGTGCAAAATGCAAAAAATAGACGAAAAATAGGCACCGCTGTGGTTGGAAGGAGCGGGGGAGGGGGATGCGGCAAAGCGATTAGTAGTCGGTCCGCCCCGTCCATCACTCAGGCTCAGTTGAGAAACAGACGATCAGACTCCTCGCGCAACGAGAGCGGACGGGAAAGAAATTAGACGACAGTGATATTAGACCAACTTCGTTTAAGCTTGTCTGCGTCCTCTCAATAAGCCTGTGCTTAGCTAGTAGCCGTCCTCATTTAATTTAGCACTGAAGAGCGTAGAAAAGGCATGGACTGATCCTACCAGTTCACGTCTATTTTTGCCCCATCCCAACAACATGCAGGCGCTATCACCTATACGAAAATTGTCAAGATGTCTAAACCATCTAGCGCTTCTATAACGAAACTAAAAGAAAAAACGAGGTCATAGTTCTCTCTGTGTAGAAAGGGATGGTGCAACTAGAGTCGCGGAAAAAAACTTGGAACAAGCCCAAGTCGCGCGCTTTTTAATAGTTTTACGTACAATTTTGAATTGCACATGAAAACTTTGTTTGCTCAAATCAAGTACGCTTTAAAAGGCTAATCTAAAAAATGAAGTTGATTGATGAAATTCGTCACCGGGACAGAATTTTGAAGATTATTGCGGTGCGACATGCCGCTGCCACTCTGATATTGGACCGATTTTCAAAGTTTCTAATATGCTTTAGAAGTAGATAGGTTTCTTCGAGGGTTTGTAAAAAAATGAAATGGAAGAAGGGAGGGCGTTGACAACACATCGACAGGAGTCTTCCCGCAGATGGAGTCGGCAAGCGCTTAGAAACCTTTGCAAAAACCGCCAAGCCAATAAGCAGATGGCAGCAGCGGCATGCCGCATCGCAATTAATCTCCAAAATTCTGTCCCATAACGAACCTAACCAATAAAGTTAACTTTCTGTAATAGCACTTTCAGGCGTTTTTGATCTGAGCAAACAAAGTTTACATGTGGGCCAATTCAAAAAATTATATGTTAACTATTAAAAAGCGCACGCTTGGGCTTGTTCATAGTTGCGAGGTATTTTCTTTTCTCTTTGCATGTCTCATTCGGAAGTCCTGTCTTCTTTCCTTGCCGCGTTTTTAAAGTTGTTTTTCATGCTCGGGCTGAGAAAAGCGCGAGATAAGCAGACCACTGCGGCATTCCCAGAGGCTTCCCATGTGCCTCTGGAGAAATTAAAATCTTCAGACCTAGCAGTGAGCATGGATTCATTCAGAAACTCAGCTTTATGACGGGATGATAAAGGATATATTTACGACCCAAAATATTTCAACAGCGCTCGTGCAAGCCGCCGCAAACGGCAGCAGCAACCTACAGGCACGCCTGGCTCGTCATTTTTTTTGTACTAAAGTAGGAACAAAAACAGAAAGGTGGTAGAAACTAAGAGGATCGAAATTCAACTCACTATTATGCTGTCCCGGTTCCGGTAGTGTCTTACTGTATAGTTCTAAATCGGGAGCTGCATTTAGAGCCATGCCGCCAAGTGTCGAGCACATCGGAGCTGCTAGGGATACGTCGCGGAAAGGTCGGACAATCTGGAAAAGTCACTCTTAGGCTACCGTAAAGAGTGCGTTCATAGTTCGCGTCGACGTTTTGAGCGAACGGCAGCATTTTGAGCGTTCGCTGGTAATTTCGAGTTTTTTGCGAACAGTCGCTGAGAACGCTAGATTGATGTCTGTATTTTCCTACTCGCTCAAAATGCTGCCGCTCGCTCGAAAAGCCGACGCAAAGTGTGAACGCAGTCTAACAAATCAAACTTATTCCGATAGGATACTCACCTTTCGTGGCGGTTCATGTCCCTTCACCTCTGGAGCGGTACGTTTAGCAGGATTGTTGGAAATAATAGCGGTAGCAACTAAGTTTCGGAAACGTCCAATACTTGGGTCAACGTCTTCTGAAACAGATACCAGGATCAGTTATAATGGGGAAGAACTATAGCCACTACTTATAGTAGTAATTCTAACAAATTTGCAGTCCTCATGTAGATCATATGACGGCCTTCAAACACAAGTCTGAATACAGTAGCCCATAAACGTCGGCCTGAGTAGAAGTTAAACTTTCTTCATCAAATATCTCCACCACTCACTATGCAGGCCACTGTCACGAACTACCGCTTTGCCACAACATATGGGTACCGGTCAGGAGATCTATGCTGCGGCGACGCGTGCGCGGAATTCGCACCAGACTGATTCAATGCGATTCACTAGCGATGGTCGGGTTATCCTCAAGCTGCTCGGAAAAACTAGCTAACTGGTGCGCGTCTTCGATACATGACTCTTCAACCGGCACCTAAAGTCGTTATCCGCACAGTTGATTAGCCGGCCAAAGGGTCGCGACGCGGCTGCAGCGCGTCACGATCGCGGCGATCAGCTGTTTCCAGCCTAATTTAGCAATTTTCTCCCTAGTTTTCACTGTATTTTCTTTTTTTTTCAAGGTAAGTTGCATTATTGTCTATATGAAGTATATCAAGACGTGGAATCTTGTTCTTGTAATGGAGTATTTTTCGCGATATTTCAGTTGTTTGCTTAAATCCAGAAAAATCGTCAATCATAACTTATCTTGTGACGACAAGGAACAGCTAACCTTGACAAAAGCAGCCAAATACAGGGAAAAGTAGGGAAAAAATGACTAAACCACAGGTCGGAAAACGGTTGATCGCTGCACGCAGTTCCTACAGTACGCAGGTCGCTGCCCAGCCCGCGCGTGCGCGCCCATTTGACGACCGCCTATATCAAACTGCCGGAATGCACGACATGCCACAAACTACACAAAGCTGATGGAGATTTCGGCATGATAATTCATCCGTTCCTCTCACTCATTATCCCCCCGCGCAAATTATTGTCACCTCTGTATACTAGAGAGGGGTGAAACTTGAAGGGAAACTAATGAGTCTTCGAGCGCATTTCAACAGACCAACGAGGGGGAGATGGAGAAGGCAAGCATACAGTCCTTATCATTACGTACAGTCGGGGAGGCACAGCTGTGACGCGACAACGGCTATGGCTCGGTGACGGTGAATCAGCTGATTTCCATGGAATTCGGCTGCAAATTCCCAATTTTTCAGCTCTTCAAGCTTCTAAAGTGGAAGCTGGAGTAATTCTGAATAATTTGAATTGGTACTGGCCCTCTGATTCCTTTATTTTTAGTCATATATGCTCTGTTCCTTGTATTTTGCCTTATTTCAGGTATTTATTCAAATGTTATGGTTTCTTACATTCTTTCAGATTCATTCAGAGTCAGTACAATTCTAAATTGGTCAGAATAACTCACCCTCCACTTTGAAAATTGAATAGCCGAAAAAGTAGGAATTTGCAGCCGGATTCCATCGAAATCAGCTGATTCACCGTCACCGAGCCGCAGCCGCTGTCGCGTCACTCACTGGTGCAGCGCGGCTGTGTCGCCCCGACAGTACGTAATGATGAGGACTGTAAATTCGCCTCGCCGTCGCACGCGGTGCATCATGCAGCCTTGCGCGGCAGCTTCTCAATCTGCATCCGTTAACGATTAGAGCAACCAAATTCATAGCATTTCAACTGGAGGCAAGACTACCTTCTAGATGATATCGATCTTTCCCGTCTCATTATCATTCAGTTCAGTATGACAACTGGCCGCGCGCAGGACAACTCGCCCCTTGGGCTTGCGGCATCGCTCACCACGTCCATCAGACACATGTGATTGTCTTGCCACGCATGTTCAAAGAGGATATGCTCAACAGGAAAACTACCTGGGACGGGTGACTTTGAGACAAGAAGGAAGACAGACCTTGCCTCAATTAAAAAAGGGCAACCTTAGCTAAACGAAAAAGGGCGACGAATAATAAGAAACTACAAAGGGTACCGACTTGTTTTTCACCACCTCATAACCTCAGGTGGGTGCCTCTGCCTTGGCGGGCGCTGATCTGCACTCCTTGTGGACTGCGGTGCTGACGGGCCTGTAACCGTTAACAGATGGGCGTGGTGTATAGGATGAAAAACCTATCCTTCACCATGGCTGCCGTCCCTCTTCTTTCACAGAACTGGACCAATTTCAAGCGTGACAGTTAGGGGTGGCCTCGCACCCCACCTCATAGTCCGCCCCTCGTCTCCTCGAAATCATTTGGGAGAAACTTTTGTTGCTTGGCCTTTCTCCCGGAGAACACCTTGGGTCGATTGAAATGTATCATTAAAAGAGGATAAAGTCTTCGTTGTTAGACAACCCTTATGGGGGTGTGGCACGCATTCTATTTCGACTCAGAATCGTAGTGGCTAACTGAATGCTATATGGCCTGTACGACTTGCGGAACCACCCGATGTGCAAAACAGTTCTTAACTTCCCTGACAAATCTGGTACCGAATACCCGTACTCGGGGAATAAAGAGCTTGGTGGGCCTGGCGAGAGCCGATGCGAAAGTTGACCCCCGAACCGTATGATAAGCGTGCCCCTTGCCACTACACCAACAACAGAAAGCGAGAAGCCATACAATCTAGTTTTCAGCAAGGAGAACTATTGCTCTGCTGCCAACCATACAGTTTCATATTTTCCAGTAAGAAACTCCACACACCTCGGACTGGATAACTCATTATCAGGAAAGAAAAAAATTTTGTAAACCTCATAACGTGTGCAATGTTTCTGACCAAAACAAGAAGACCGCAATGATTTACATGCATCCTACAAGCTTCACTCTGAAGCCGCGTTCATACTTTGCGTACTGGAGAATCACGGAATTGAGAAACTCCGAGAATTATTGAATGTGCACTGATTGATCTCTGATCCCCTATTTTCTCAATTCCGCGATTCCCCAGGATCGAAATGTACAAACGCGGTTCATCCAAATTCAACTGACCTGGATTAATGATCTCTTCCTGCTCAATAAATGCCACATTCCCACGAGGTCGCTTTTTTCGTCGAGCCTCCTCGACTGATATTGGCAGTTGCGGAATTCGTCGATTTAGTGCCGTGTTGTATTCGGTCACATTCTGAAAAAAAACAACGCATCTTCTGAGGAAACACAGAGGTAACAGAGTGGGGCAGAATTTTTTATCATCTATATGGCGGTCAGCAAAAATGAACACCAAGTTCGGTTTATACCCACCGCTCCACCAAGCAACAACTGAGCGCCCGGCGTTAAACGTAAAGAGGATGTCTTTAGTGAGCAGTGCCACTTATGAGAGCTGCAGCGCCATCTTTGCTTGCTCTAAAGCCGCAAAAATGGGACAAAGTGGGACAAAACTAGGGACTGCGGACCATACTACTTGAACTAGAGATGATGCTTTCGAATCGGTGAGCGCGGGGCTAACTCCATCGCTCATAGATGCAGCCGCCGGGTTTGTTTTGGCGAGCCTGTGCCACACCCGCGTCCACGACCCCATTCCAATTATCCTTCAAGAAAACAAAGATAATGCCACAAACTCACCTCTAGCTCCTGTTCGCTAGGCATTTTCTCTTTTTCCTCGTCTTCGTTCTCCTGTTTCTGCACCAATCTCAACCGCAGGGTATACCTAAAATTGAGAGGTTGATAGGTAAACTAGTTAGATTCTTCATTGTCGATAACCCCTGAAACATTTCAGTTCATTCACTGACGCACACGTCACGGCTTCAATCGTGAATCGTTGCTACAGTGGTTGTCAAGGAAATATAAAACGTGACACAATGGAAAAAGAAAGGAATAACCTCAACTATGACGCGTAAAGCAGCCCTCACCACTCAAAGCATTCTATATGAACCGAACAGAAAAGCTTTTTACTCATATCAATTCTCCATAACACGTCAGTTCGCTCGTATACACGTAGAAAACGTTCACTTGTATAATTTACCCCACACTTTATGATGCAATCCTATGAAATTCGATAAGTCTGGTCTTCAAGCTCTTGGAACATCACTTGCAGAGCGCTAAAGTAGGAGATTAGATCTTCCACTAGGCACTGTCCAAAATATGAGCAGGAAGACAACGAAACTATGAGCCATTATCAAAATCGAGGGAAAAGAGCCCGTATTAAAAGTCTGGAAGCCACACTCCTACTTTGGGCCCCCACTTCGATCTTTTTCAGCCGCTATCTTCATTCTCTTTTTCCCTTCATCTGATGCCTTATTTACACTCCACTGATCATGTGCAAACGGGCCGCACCTAAAATTTGTCGAGCGCGCGTGATTCGCGCGGCAATGTTCAGCGTTACGCAAACCGTATCCACATGAAATATCATTGGAGCAAAGGATTGCCTCTTGTTCACGGCGTGTTCTTCAATAGGATGGATTTTGTTAATAGTTTTAGCGATCCGTAACAACAATGCAGTTTTCGTATTCAAAAGCTACGACGTTGTACGTCACGCCCACTAACTCACAACAAAGTCGCCACATACCATTAATCCTAATCCTACATTACCTATAGGCTGCGTTCATGCTATGCGTAAGCGTCCACTCGCGTTTCAAGCGTACGGCAGCGTCAGCGACTGGCAAAGTGATGAAAAGATATCGATCAAGCGTCTACCAGCGTCCAGGAGAAAAGAGTGTGGCGCTATAGGTACAGAGTTGGTAGAGTATGGTGAGACAGGAGGATAGCAGACTGCTGGTAGAGATATGGCGAGATAGGAGGGACTAGGTGTCTGCCACCTCCTGTCGGGCCAAACTCTCTGCTCTCGAACGCTGACCAGACGCTGGATGCACCTTGGCCAGACTGGTAGACGCTGGATCGATACCTATACTTCCCAGGCCCTCGACGCTGGTGAACGTTGGTGAAAGCTAGACCGATATTCTACTTTTCCAGTCGCTGGACGCTCGCCGCAAAGTATGAAAGCAGCTTTAGAAACTTCGCACTCACCTCCGTAAACAACTGATCCTCACCATGTGCATAGTGAGTCCGCGGCTGAATTAGGGTGGGGAAACAAGCACTCAGCAGTAGAACCAGAAGTAGAGGACGCATACAATTGGCGCGTTTGGCTATAGTCAGGCGTGCCTAGCCGAGCGGCAGCGCGAGCAGAATCCTTAAACAGCGCCCATGTATCTTACTCCGTTCCCAAGCACTTTGAGCGAGAAAGTGGCACGCTACTGCAGCTGCGGACCCATTTACCTCGCATATAACAGGAATAGAGATCCACGAAAATAAGTGCAGAGTTTGCCTTAAAGCAGAAACGCTCCGCTCTTCAAGCAGTTCATATTAAAACCCTATCGTTGAGAACCCCTCAAGGGTGACATTCCGTGAGTTTGGTGCCCATATAAATGTCCTGCCCATGCGATTGAAGCGCAATGTACCTCTGATAAATTACCTCTCACCTTCATAATTGAAGAATTATGTTAACAATTCTAATGTAACTATAAAGCCTATAAGGGACTACTTCGAAAAACACTGCCTAGAAACACTTGCGTCTCTCGTACAAACATAAATCGCTGGCGAACGAGTGCCGTGGCAACGTCTTAGTAATTAACGAGCCAATCTGGCTTACAGTACGTCAAACATCAACTCTTGCGGAAGAAAAACACGACGTAAATGAGTCTCATCTACTCCGGAAGCCAAATTTCATTCTCCCTGACAAAGACACATAAACTTAAACGAAACGAACCTTCTCGTTGACGCTCCAAAGTGAAACGGCACACCGATATCAACGAAAACCACTCTCAGCGGTTCCAGACGTATGTTCCCCAAATACGTACCATGACCTAAACCATTCAAAGTAATTCAAGCATATTCTGAAAAATTAAGTATATATTTTGGAGAAGGTAGCAGCGCCTAGATTGTAGGCTAAATCCGGGGAGCTGCGAGCTAATGGGCGACATTTTTTTCTGCCTTACGCCTAGCCAGCTGTGTATCGCTATCAGCATTCCTCTCACATTTTTTTCGTAAATGAAACAAAAAACCAGCCTCAGAAAGTAGTCAAAATAGGAACAGCAAAAAAAAAGTATTTCTTCGTGGTTGGAGGTAGGTCCCGCGATCAAAGATGGTGGGTAACAGAACTCAAATACCAATGACAAGGTAGTCTTTGATTCAGTGAAGAAAATGTTGGAAATGCCCTAGACGAGACCCCTGCTGATCTGAGCTCGTACGAGTGCACAGCGAACAAAGGGCGTGCAGCACGAGCTATCACTTGTTCGTATGAGTTCTTTTCTCCCATCTTTTCATTAGTAATGGAGAAAGAGCTGGTAGCGGGATAAGAGTACCACTAGAAAGTCTTTGGAACGTGGGCGTGGTATGATGCAGTGGGTGGGGCATTACATCATGGCGGTCAATTGCTGTCCTTATGAGCGATAAAAGCGTGGCCTCGTCTAAGTGCTCACTGGCCCTTCCGCTACCCTAGTGTTCAAAAAAACCACCTCAAAAATACTTACTGCTCTCCATGTCAACCAGAGCGAATCGCTTCAGGATACCGTGATAGAGCAACAAAGCGTGTACTCTGGAGCATGATGCATGCTCAACAGCGAAATCGACCTGCTTGGGATTCCGACCGAAATAGTATGCTCGTTTTTCATCTACCATCAGCTTCTGAAAAAAATATAGGGTGAGGGGGTACATATGAACAAACTACCACCTAAATTTCATAGAACTCCTAAATGGAGGCAACTCCAGTATGTTGCAAGACCTCTATCGGATCAGAAAACGAACTTCGCTTAGGCGTTGCCCGGCTTGGAGGGGCATTTTGCACTTTCGCTAGTTGCCGTTCAATTACACGTCACACTGTGGGGAGAGCTACAGACCCTTACGAATTGTAAACGATGCTCCTGCTATTGTGAAGCTTTGCGGAAATCTACAAGTATTTACAGGAAGCCGTGACCGATGGGAACCAGGAAAATGCCTCCCCTAGGACAATTCGCGCTCATTCATTATTATACCGTATGCAACAGCGGTCGAAAACGGATGTGCCAGCGATGACTGGGTTTTCTCGGCCCCCTCCCTTTCCTGCCTCTCCCAGCCACTTCTCTTTTTGTTCTAAGATGTGGACTATACGTCATTCCTTTAGAAAATCTCTAACAATATTCAAAAAAACCTAACAATATTGAAAAAGTCTTAAACTCCACCTGTATCAGTTGTTCCCCTTTGCAAACATCCAAATGTGATCCAGGTGGTGGTCGACTTGCCCAATCGGGTACAGCAAACTTTGACTTCTCATCGACTGCAGCCGTTGTTGCCACCGCTTTCACTGCTGGTGCGGTCGCCGTCTCGCCGGTCATTACCGACAAGTACCTATAACTAGTTTATTTCAATGAACCTCTCATTAGAATCCATTACACAAATAATTCCTCGGCACAACACAGACTATATCACGAGACTATGCGATAACAGATTACGGTAAATCAGGAACGAACCGGGATGGATAAAATGACCGGAAAATTGCATAAAAAGGAGATCAGGTGATAAAAACGGCTACGGCAACCAGGAGACACTAACGATTAGTTGAAGGAATCAATGGAGACGGGAATAATCTTTTTTGGCACATACGCAATAATACACTACGTCAAATACGGATCAATTCACTCAATTATACGATCAGGAAAACAGGCGGTATACAGCACCCCAAACAGTACAGATTGCGTAGGATCTGCGATTGTACTCAGCAGCATTCACTTCTCGCCAGGACCGGTTGTGTATATCCAGGTGACCAAACATCTAATTTCATGTGCAATTCTCGGGGTACTGTATACCGCCTGTTTCCCTGAGCTTATAATCCTGTGACCAATTCAGCAAATAACCATTAAATTAAGATGCAATTTTACTAACTTTTGACCTGGAAAACTCATAATCAGCCTGGATTCATTAACTGCTTGCACCATTTCAGTATTACTACAAAATGGCAGGGAGGGAGCAGAGCAATGTAACAACCTCTTGTGAAACTGTGAAACTGCTTAGAATCCCATGAACTGCAATTTGTTGGAAACAAATTTTGAATGAATTATACGAAGTTATATGGAGTGAGAAAAGTGGTACATAAAGCCGAAAATAGAAGAATTTAACAGCGGAAAATGTCAGGCTCTGCTACAGGCATAACAACTCTTATTTTCCAAAGGGCAAGAAACCCTTGACAGTCTCAAAAGCGCCAGTGGCAAGTGTCTTTGCCTTTTCCACTTGTTCAGTCAGACCGAGTTGTCCGATAATACTGTCGTCTTCAGCGTTCATCGCTGCCGCCAGTTCCTGAAATCAATCGTAGCTTTTCTCTGAAAAAACGCAATGCAAAAGCGTGGACAAAATGAATCTGTAGAAAAGACGGTGGAGCTATCTTCCGGTCCTTTTGCGAGACGATTTTTTTTGCATTCTTGCGCGAAGCGCTCATTACACTTGCCCTTGCATACAATATACCTTATTGGAAGTTCCGCCCCAGAGAGCCACGCCCCCGTTCTTGCCGCGATCATGACTTGCACCTCACATTACACTTATTTTAGTCCATAAGTTCTATTCCACTGGAAAAAAATTAATCTGCTGAGTAAATGGAAGAACAGCGAAGAGGAAGGAGAAAAAATGTCCAAAACATCTTTAGTGAAGCCCTTTTCGAGTTTGTACGAGTTCACTTACAGTTGGACGAGTGCTCTTGAACTTCTGCCCCCAATGAAACGATATAACCGTCGCCTCGAGTTATCTCAGCTGATTTTTCCACAAGGGACACAACATGGAATACCTTGACGTTCTTAAGTTTGCTCGCAGTGGCAGTCGTTCTCGGGGGAAAGAATGGGTGGAGTTGCGTTAAGTGAGGTACAGCCTCGTAAAGTC